GGGACTTTTTTGATGCTGTCTTGGTAAAAATAGTTTCTGTACTATAGAAAAAATCAAACTAAAATTGTGTCTTGCATTGTTTCATACCATTAAACCAAAATACTTAAGTTTAAAATACAATGAAACCAACTGATATGTTTACTCTTATGTGCCAAGTACTCTCTAAGTTGCAAAGGCAATTTGCATTAGAATGTAAATATTTATATTTAAATAAATATGCTGCTTACAATGTTAACAAATATGTGATAAATAATTTAAGCATCACAAGATATCTGTTTACAATAAGATAAATGTAAATGCAAATAGAGAATGCCACTCATCTACCACAGTTTGTACAATACTACAATTATGCAAGACATGCGCAATACTTTTCAGTATTATATCTAAATTACTTATGTCTTGTCTCAGCAAAGTATCCATTGTAATCAAGGTGCTTGTTTAGTTGAGACATTATGCCAAGATAAGTGGCTAAACTGGAACAGATAGCTTCCAAGTTTCCTTCTTGCCTTGCAGATCAGTTCTCCCCTGCAACATACCATTGTGATTCTCATGGCATGCCACAAACCTTGCACTTCCCCACAATTTTTCTATGATACTTTTTGAATTAATTCATTGTTATCATCATTAACATATGTCTGTGGCAGCCATCGTAAGAGATCATACAGCACACACTTTTGTATTGTGGCTGAGACTATGTTATGATGTTTTAAAACAAAGCTTGCCTTTGCTAGTCAGCCTGAATGAACCTGTAAAACAATTTTGTGATCAGTCTCCTAACAGCCCCATAAGTCTTTGTCTACTATGATTATACCAGTATGTTAGACCAGCCCAGGGTTCTGCAGATTATTAGCAATATGATCCCTTGGGATGTCTCAAATATGGTCAGCTTCTTGCTGAGGCAGAATGGTCCAGTGCTTGTTCTACTGAGCACTACTGATCAGTTTATATTGGCTTGCATTGGGAAGGCTTTCTGCACAAGGGTAAAATATTAGTATCACATGAAAGCTGAGATTCCTATTTGTCCCCAAATTTTATGGCCTTGCTCTAAGTCTTCTTCATTATGATACAATGGGGGCTTTCGAAATGGTTGATCAAACTTTCAGAATTATGCAGATGCTGTTAAGGAATGTACAACGAAAAAACCTCAATGTGTTTACTTGAGCAAATTTAAATGCACAAAAGTATAAAAGTTAATGTTTAGTTCTTGAGATGCATATAACAGATTACATGATTGAGATTTCCTTTGAATGCTTTTTCTCCAGTTCATTGCTCACCATGCAAGTCTGTATGTAAGGTTAGTGTAAACTCATCCGTTGGCCAAGTCATGGTAAAGCCTGGCTATGCTCCCAACCTGGATAATTATTTTGTTCTTTATTAGACTAATAACTTTTTGGCATATTATATTGTGCACACTCGGAATTCATCTAGTTAAGGTTACATCAAAGATTGACCTCCATTGACAAGATTAAATTGAAGTAATTTTCCCTTAGAGCTTAGCAGGTAGGGTATTTGTGTTGTCAGCAAACATTTTCCCTTGGGCATTATCTCAAATGCAGTGTCAGAATGCCAGGATTTACTTTAAATTTTTTTTTCCTCCAATTTTTATTTTTAATTTTCCTTCTATCACCTTTCAGCTGTCGCACTCAATAATTTCCTTGGAAGGAAAGTGCCCAAAAGAAGCCACTGTATAACAGCTCTGCCTAAATGCTGATCTTTTTCAGTAGTATCTTTGACCTGTATATATTACCTGATGTTTAATCCTTAGAACTTGCAGGACTGTCTTAAATATGTTATTTTTGTAGGCTTTTCACTTGCAAAAAACCCCCAAACAAACCAAACCCCCTAAATCAAACAGAAAAAAAACCCAGGAAAATATTAACTATCTGTAATACCGTAAGGACTATTTTATGCTAGAATTTGCTTTAAAAAAACCCCACATAAATCATCATATTGTGTATACATTTGTAGAATTGAAAAGAGAAAATACAGACTCAGACCAATAAATCAGTGAATACTAAATCAACCAAAGAAACAATCAGTCCTAAATACCCTTAATTGTGAAATGAGTGGTTTCATTTATTTAGAATATAGCAGATTTTAATACTTGACTAGCCTTGCCACTTACAGAACATGATGAAGGAGGATGTCTACTAATTAACTCCTTTGGAAAAGGAAATAACCCACTGAATGAAAGGAAATAATATTCTTTTAGAGGTGATTTCCATGTATATTCTGACATTCTTCTTTGAAATTTGTCCGTTTTTCCTACCGTTTCCAAAGTATTATAAAACCCATGGGCAAGGTAAATTTACATCCTTGAAATCACTAAGTCTGTATATGAATTACTGTAGAAATTATTCCATGAAACATAACTTAAATTCAGTTAAAGGAGAACTATATTGCTACATATTTTAGTACAGAGTCTTTTATCCCCACATGTATTCACCTTTCGCTTCAAGTGTAATATCTAAATAGAACTTTTGTGTTAAAATTTGGAGTTAGGTGTTGTGAATGCTTTCAATGGTGGTCTTCAATAAGAAAACAAAAAACCCAAACCCCTTTGATTTCTCTGTGACAATCCTGATAAGACTTACAAAGCCAAGAAGCATTGTGAAAACAACATAATGGCTTATCTGTAGCTCCAGCAGTTGTGAAGGCAATGTCATGTTCAACAGAGAAAAAGGAAAACAAAACCATATCTTTAAGAAAACAAGTGGTTTGGAAACAAGATGAAACAATCATCCTCACCCTGCTGGGACTTAGCTGTCCAGAGGGTGTGAAGAGAGAGGTGGTTGGCAAGAAAGAAGCATGAAATATAGAATTTTATTTATCGCTGTACTCCCAGGGGATAGAATATCAGCCTTTCTTCCAGACTTAGATACTCTCTAATATATCATGGAAAAGCTACAAAGCTTACTTCTTCCTTGCTTGGAATTGGAGTAGAATTGCATTTTACAACATTCATTAGCGCATGGCTTAATGTTGGAAGGAATATTCTATTTCTTACTAAGATGGGAAATACGAGTTGGGCTTTCAAGTCTTCTGCCAACTGTCTCTGGCTTTTGCAGAAAGGGTAAACTGAAAAAGCTGCTGTCACATGTGGGCGGCAGGCATGCAGTGCAGTTAATGATCCGTGATAAACCTGGATAATAAGCAGATATGGAGAAGGTTTCTCCCAAATAGAATGAGAACTGGTGTTTCTTGGAAATGATCACGTTTCTTCATCCTTTTGGTTTTGGTATGAGAAGAATCAAATCTATAACAGTGACAATCCCCCAAATGGTATAGAGAAGGGTAGCATCTGTGGGGGTGTTGGATAATTCTAATAACTTTTGGAATTAATTAATTAATGAAACTACAGCTTTAGACAAATTATATCTCTACTCTTTTCTTTACCTGTGGCTCCTGGTGGGGGGGGGGGGACTACTGTGGGTTTTTTTCCAGAACTTTAGGATTCAATAGCTATATATATTCATGAGGTATGTATGCAGCAGATTATTTGGCTCATCTCAGTGTAAACCAATAATAACATTAAGGTCAAATGTTTAATTATGTCAGATTAATTTCCATTAAATTGATTTTCAAATACTGATGTGTCTCAGTCTTTGTTATATGTGATTAATGGTATGTGGAACACTGAGTTTGTCTGAATATTTCTGTCATACACAGAAGGTCCTCAAAATCTAGCTAATATACAGTGACTTCATTTGTATTCTATTTTCATCTAAAATCCAAACTACAGGTTGGCCGTTTTGAAAAACTAAAACCTAAAAGAGCAGGATATGGAAAGCTGCTTTCCAAGTAAGCCTCTATTTAAGATATTGGTTAAATTATCAAGTCTTTTAATGAAGTGTGTAGATTGTAAGATTTTAACTAATTCTTGTTTAGTAGAACGAGTTGCATATCACACTGAGGAAGAGTGCTTGTGAACAGCCTTTTAAGTTTTTGTACTTGCTGGTCTGTTTTAGCTTTATAAATGGTATAATATATTTATCCTTGTACAGGTTGTATAGATATATATGATCTATGAATGCATAGATTTATGTCTAAATATTATTTATATTGATTTACTCTCAAATGGATAGTTAGGGTAGAGACTCATTTAAATTAATGAGATTCTTCAAAGACACTAAACTTTGGTCTCTTTCAGTTAAGAAACGCATTGCAAACCGTTGCTGAGGGTTAAGGTTGTTTAAGACATTAAAAAGTAGTCTTCGCTGTTTCTTGCCTTCAAAGCTTGATAGAATTTCTGGTTAAACTAAGTTGTAAAGAAATCAATATTTTTATCTAAATTGCTTTTGCTTATCTGGTTATAGTTCTGTACAAAATAGGCCAAGTACTCTTCAGGAATCTGTAACAGACAGACAATAATTTCTTGTTCAAAATAGGTCACTGGTAAGTTTATATGTCCATATTAAAGTATGCATAATTTTACAAAACCTACTATGATATGCATTTGTAAAACTCAGCATAAAGCAAATATTGTTCTTCAGGAAATGTCAGTCAGTACACAACTGTAAGCAACAACAGCTGTAGTTGATATTCCTGTGAAGTAAAAACATTTTTAGTTTGTCAAGGCCTAAGTTCAGCACTGATACAAGTTCTTGAATTGATGGAAATAAGCTAAACAGACATCATCGTTAAATAATTATCCAGGGAATTATTTAAATCTAGAGCTTTGTATTAAAAGTAGTGTAGTGCATACACTGTTTATGTTCAGGGTGTTTGTTGGGCTGCCCAAAACATTTTCAGGGCAGCCAGAGTTCTGAGGTAATATGGGGTTTTCTTGAGATGTATTGATAAATTGGGTTTCAGAGATGTACCTGTACTAGGAGTATAGAGGGAATCGGAGAGATGATAAAAATATCTTGTTCTTCTATTCTAGATGGAGATAAGTGTAAATGTTAATCAATGGATTGATAGATATGTTAAAATATTCAAACCTCATATTTTTATGCTGAATGTGAATTCTGAATACTGAATGTGGGTTTCTGTTGCAGTATGAATACTTCAATGCTGTGCTCATAAATGAACGAGATGAAGAAGGAAACTATCTGGAGCTGGGGAAGGAGTTCATTCTAGTGCCAAATGACCACTTCAATAACTTGCCTGTGAACATCAGTCTGAGTGATGTCCAAGTACCAACCAATATGTACAATAAGGGTAAGAAAAGAGCTGTTTTATTTCATCATTCCACTGGCCGAACATAGGAACTTCCTTGCTTTTAAAATGAAGCTGTTGATTAATTATATGTTGTGTGTGTTTTCCAGTTTGCAATTAAACTGAAATTTCAGCGGAAGAATGCTTAACGTATGACGGTTTTGTAATATCTTTTGTTCTGTGGCAAATTAGCAATTTAATATGGTCAATGATTTGCATATTAGACTTGCATGAATTTTGCCATAGAATATGGCAGAATATGTTTATTCTTGTGAATTATTTTCCGGAATCTCCAAATCAGTTGAACAGATCTTACATTGTCCCTTTCAAGTCACATTCTGTCTTTGCTGAGAGGTAGAAGTGGGAGGGGGATGGGAGGGGAATATTTTATTAGATTTATGCTCTCAAGCTTCTGGGAATAATTCTAGCTGTATATGACTGTATACACAGCTGCTGTGAGTTTTCAGATAATATTTAGGAAGAATAAACTACATGAAAATTTCTACTCCCCTGACTATTTGTCACAGGTGCTGGATAGCACATAGCACTAACAAATAGCTACATTAGACACTAGGAGCGATGGACTTAGGTCTAAAAATTGGGAATGCAAACTGAACTCAGGTACATGCTTACTCATTTTCCTTTTGCCACTTCCCTTTGATCAGACAGCAGAATTCTGTAATTTTACTCTGCTTATGCAGCACCCATCTATTTATTTTTCTCAAGCCAGTAATAAAAGAAGAATTAAGGAAAGCACCAAAGTTTCCGAACAATGTCTACAGTATATTTGTCATTGGTCTGTAGAGAGCTGCCTAATCTCATTATCTGGTTCCTCTTCCTCGTTTTAACTATACTAAACGTCAGCTAAAAATACATTAAATGCTTTCCTCGTAATACATTCCAGGCTAGCAATTGTGGTAATTCATGCAAGGATATTGTGTAATCACAAATGAAAGGAGAATTAAGTCGGATAGGTTGGGCTGGTAAGAGAAGCAATTGATATGACAGCTTCTCTTCGAAGTTATGATTCAGACTTGAGAAGCCAAAAATCGTACAGTAATGTCTTAAATTAGAGATTACAAAATAACAAAGCTTCCGAGAGAGTATTTGAAAGGTTGTGAAATTATTAATACAGGATATTTTGAAAAAATTTAGAAAATCCTTAAAGTTTCTAAAGCTAGCAAACCATTTTTTTTGTGCAAATGCTAATATTTTTTTAACTGAACCTGTCTATAAATTAATTCATTCCAGAATTGCTAAGGAGGAAAAAAAAGGATAAAAAAAGTATGGTTGCAAAGGGATATAGAGGTCAGGCAATCATGTTTTTCCCGAGAAGCAAACTAACCTGAGTAGTTAGTGAGAGTAGTAAAACTAAAGGACCTTCGGTTACATGATCTGTAGTACTGCTATTTATAGAATACATTTTTATATGCTGATTAATTACGGTTAAAGGCCAAAGTCAAAGGGCTTGTTGCATCTTGTTTTGGCCGCTAATACAGGCACTGCCTGTAGAGATGGGGAGGATAGAGCTCTGTGATGGTTCCTGTTTCCACTTTGTCTAATTCAAACCAGCCAAAATCATCACTTTATGCAGCTGCAGAAAAACTTTTTTTTATCATTTAAATGTATTCCAACTGCTGAAATCTGGTTTGTTGCTGACATTTTCCTTACACATGGACATAATAGTCTCAGCTTGGAGACTGACAATGTCTGGAAATGTTACTCTTACCAAGAAGAGGCCTGTATACTTATATTTTTTGTTGCCCATTTCTTCAGTTCTCAGGAGGGGTGATAACAAGTTAATTAAATCCTAGCCTGAGGGTACAGGCAGTAGATATTGATGGGTTATAACCAAATGTCTGCACAACACCATTTCTCTAGAAAATGCCTGTTGTTCGTTTCCAGGTTATGTTTTATTTTATTGAATTACTAGGTAAAACCACAGCCCAAACTCACAGTTGAAAACAGACAAGTGTGATCATTGAATATTTAAACACAGGACTCTCAAGTCAGCATAGAAAAATGAACTTTTTATTTGTAAACTAATTCTAAGGTTTTTCTTTTATTTTGGGTTTTTTTGTTGTAGAGATACTGATAATTTGCAGTGGGTTCAGAGGAGAGCCACAGGACTCATCGAAGGGTTGAAAAATGTGCTTAGACTGAAAGACTCCAGGAGCTCAGTCCATTTAGCTTATTCAAGACATGACTAAAGGATTAATTAGTTGATCTCTAGTTAATTACTAATACCAGGCTCTATAATCTGGTTGCCAAAGGTTTAAAAAGATCCAATGGCTGAAATTGGGTTTTGTTATTTTGCAATTTGCACAAATGTGGGCTCAGTTAAGACATGAGGGGTTGTTTGTGGTGTTGGTGGTGTTTGGTTTTTTTTTGTTTTGGTTTGTTTTTTTAATGAAGATAGTTAGTCGTCTATTAGAAGGGTGTTGTCCTATGTCTGTCCCCCCAAACCCTTAATCAAGACCAGATTCTTTTTTGTTTGTTTTTGAAAAAATACATAGTTTAGAATTAGTTTGGGGAAAAACTTTGGCCTGGTCAGCTTGCGTGATCCCTCCCAGCTGTAGAATTGCTAAAGTGAATGTTCAGAGTCCCTAACTAGGCTCTAAAGAGATTGGCTTAAAAATCGTGGGACATAAATACATTGCTATTCTTTATATATCTTCTGGCTCTTTCAGCCTCTGCATAGAAAAGCTTAAAAATATTGATGGTAACAACAGGACTAAATAATTCCCATTCTAAGGAAACCATCAAGTTTAGAATGTGAAAACAAAAAGTAAAAGGAAATTTCATTACATTTATGATGATATCAAGAAAGCTGAAATACCATAAATATCAAAACTATGATATTAAAATTTAACATGGAACATTTTGAAAAGGAAAACGCGAGCCAATAAAAAAGGCTGCCAACCTAATTTGTAAGCATACATGTAATGCTAGTGCCATCTTTGAGTACAGATTGCATACTATAAATGTAAAAGAAAAAGTAAATTAGTGAATTTAATAAAGAATCACAGTTTTGCATTTACAATACTGTTGATCATCATTGTAAAATATAAAGAGCTGGTCTGGTTATTGATGAGCTCTTATGCTTTTCATCCCCCTCTTCTGCACACACTCATCCCTCAGTTTCTCCATATCTTACAGTGCACATCAATTAATGTTAAAAATAGAAAAGTTACTGATCTTTGCAATATAAAGCTCAGAAAACACTATTTTGGCATTCCTATAATGGTCATATGCTGAAGGAATTCAGGTAAAAAAAAAGCGGGATGGTTGTGCTTTACAGATAAGTGTGCTTATCTGTCAATACAGAGAGAACTCTCTCAGCTCTAGGCTGTTTCACAGCAATGCTGGCGGTCCATTTAAACTGCAAAACATTCTGATGGAATTGGCCTCCTTCATTTTTCCTGAAAATGATTGCTTATGATAATGTTTTGCTTTTGAAATGTTTAAGCACACATTGGGATTCTAAATCTGTCAGTACATTCTGTTTCCTCTACTTAAGCACAAAGTGTATTCATTGCCTATAGCCATGGGATTTGCAAGGCAGTATCCTTTTAAACAATGAATAGATAATTAAGGTTAAGTAAGAAGTTCTAAGTGACAACTGTGTTAGCAAGCGATAGTGCTTTCTTCTGAACACAAATTTGGTACCTGGCAATTATGAACTGTGTACAGATTTCTGACAAGAAGTAGGGGAAAGGGTTCTTAGTGAATTAATTGTATAGGTATATTCATAGTTGAAAACGGAAGGGAGGAAGAAGGTTACTTTTTTCATATTAGAAGGAAAGTTTAGTTTTGGAAAGTACAGAAGCAATCTGAATCCAGTTTGGACAATGCAGTACCAAGGCAGAAGTCCAGGTATGAGAACAAGTGTGTATAAGGCACTGTCTAATGCAGCTGCTGTTGTTTTTTTAATAAAGTTTATTATGGGTTATATATCAGCCCCAAAGTGAGTTTTCATATCTCTTATTTTTTTATCTCTCTCCTATTATTTTAGAATGTAAGTGATTTGGGACATGCTTCTGTCTCAGACATATCTTGCATATATACTTCCATAGGTATACCTTCCAAAGATAATCAGATATACCTTTCTACATATCAATTGTTCTATTTTAAACAGCTATTGTGGAAGAGATTAATAATAATGAAATATGATTAGTGATTTAAAGTTTACATAGTTTCAACATTTGCTTTATTACTTTCTGAGATGCTATTTAGAAGAACCTAGGAATATGACATATAATTAAAAAGTAGGCAGTTGGAATGTGAGCTAGGCTTTCTGGCAACCGTCCATGGAGAGCATGGTTTCTGGCAGTTGCTACTGGGAAAAAGTAGGATTCTATAATGTATTTATGTACATGAGGAGATAAAAGAAGGCTTCAAAACACTCATATCTGGTCTGGCAGATGTTGACAGCATATAAAAGTAAAAGAAAAATAGAGTAGCATTTTACGTTTCGTTAGTATGAGAATGTAGGTAGTCTTAACTTCTTAAAATCCTACATTCTTTGTCCAAAGTACGTGCTGTATCTGAGCTGAAGAGCCTATTCCAGTTTTATTTTTCTAAGGCTATGTCATCTCGTATTTACCTGTAGTTGTGGACAGTAATGACATGTTTTCTGCTATTGAGTTTACACTCAGCATTTTTTCAAGTTCTTGGAAGAGGTTTATGAATACTTGGCTAAATGTGGTTTTCAGAGGAATGTAAATGAAAACCAAAGTCAGGGTGAGGGTGAATGTGTCTTGGTGACATACACTCAGACAATTCTAAAATATGGCACCCATTGAAAAGTGAAGTATAGCACAGTACGGTACCATAAGTGACACACAGCAGGATCTCATCTGCTTATTTAACGTTGCATAAAATCTAGGAAATTCAAGAGGATGTTGATAAATACATTATCTCAATATCAACAGAAAACAACTCCTGTTTTTGAGCTTTTGCAGTCAGTCTTTGTTTATATGATACGGTAAACTTTACATTTG